CATAGATCCTAGCAGATGACGACTCCAAAGCTAAAGCACCTGTATGTCATCCTCTTCAGGACAGTATTGTGTGACTCTCTTGTTTGGTGTACAAACTATAAGAAATAATTTTCAAACATGGGTTCTTATACATATTAAACGTAACGACTTCTCTTTAAGAGCCATTTTAATTAGGCACAGAGAATTTTTAATTAAGCATAGAGAAAATTTTACTCAATAAAAGCAAACAATCTATTTCAACTTGGAAAAAAATTATATACACTTATGTGTGTGTGTATATACATATTTTAACCTTGAGGCATGATCTCCAGAGAATCAACTGCAATAAAATACTGCAAAAAGAGCACCTGATCAACAAAGAAATCTGGCATGCTAACATCTACAATAAAATTTGTTTTAATTCTGAGGTTTTCCAACTAAGGATAAGATTAATGCCATAGTCAAGACAACCAGTGAAACCAAAGTAGTCAGACAGCAAGGTTCCAACACCACAAAGGTTATCAGACCCAGAAAGTCTGATAGGTATGATGAATGCGTGCTTCACTGTACTAAAAATCAGGAGAAATTTAGAGAAAGGATTTGTTCTGTTTGGCTAAAAAGAGGATGATCTCAAGCATATTCATGTCAGAACATATCAACTGGTTTCTTAATCTACCAAAAAAGTACATTAATTGGCAGGTACTGGTAAAGCATGTTTCACAAGTCTTTATCAAAACCGTATTGTCTCCCCTCATGGAATTCTCTGTGCAACAAGATATTTTTGTTTTTGAAATAAAACCTAAACACATCCTAATGCAAAGGAAACAGTGAGATGTTGTAAAACAATTTTCATACCAACTTTAATGAAAGCTCTTCGCAAAGATCACTTTTTCCTCATGTTAACACCAGTTGTGGACCAATCTTTTTGTAACTGTTATATCACACTGCAAGTGTTTCACAATGTAAAACCAAGAAAGAACATGATCATTGTGATCTAACTATCTTCGTTTCCATCTCGATAACAGCAGTGCTTGTTGAAAACTAGAATGGACTGGAGAAAAACCAAACATATCACAAGAGCAGTATCAGTCAGTCCTCTTCCACTTGACAAAAAACAAGCATCAAAATATTGCATATCAAGTGTTCTTAGCCCTTGAAGTTGAAGCAGCAAAAGAAAGCAGTTTAAATAGCATTGAGAAATATGGGTTACTTGCAAAACCAGAATATTTTGAAGCTTTTGTTGCCCTTCCACGGCTAAGCAGAACAAACAACTGCTACAGATCACATCTGAAAACACGTACAAATCACTCCAGTTCATTTGCAGATTCATTCTATAACTGGGTATTAGTTGAGTTTCATTTTAGTAATTCCTTGCCCCAGAAACAAAATAAAGAGCACTTATGACAAATTCACTTTGCTTCTGAACTACCCTTAGCATCAGCCTCCTCAAAAGGTTCATTCCAACTTCAAACTCTCTCTTCTCCTATCATCAGTTTATCATTATTTTGCGAATCTTTATTCATCAATTCCTGCACACTGCTGCTGAAGTGAAGACACTGAAAAAAAACTGGGAAGATATTTTGCCTAGCCAAAAAGTCCCAAGACAATTTACCAAACTATTTAAATTGAAAGACAGCAAGTAACTTGTGCAATTGTTCCCTCCTGTGAGACCAACTAGGAGGAAGGAAACAAAAGTCCGTAGCACAGATGGAATATTAGTGAGTAGTTATCAATGTGGAAAAGCAATCAGGTTACTGGCAATCCACACAATATCAGTCACTAAGTACTTTTTCACCATATCCGATAGCTAGAACACAGAACCATGTATCAGTGAGGCAATGTCACAGATGCTTACACCAGGACTTTACCTTGTAAACAAGGCTGACGAGACATGAAATGTACGGATAACATGTTTAAGTATCCTCAGTATGCAGACAGAAATAAATTCATGAAGACAAGAGAAAGACAGACCTTGTGATTTCATCCTGATAATCTTACTACCAAAACACACACCTATATCCTCAGCACTAGAAGGACCTGGACCTGTCAGAGCAGGGCTAGAAGAGGTGACAAAAACGATCCGAGTGCTGGAGCACCTCTCCTATGAGGAAACGCTAAGAGACCTGGGGCTGTTCAGCCTGGAGAAGAGAAGGCTCCGAGCTGACCTTATAGCAGCCATCCAGTACCTGAAGGGGCCTACAAGAAAGCCAGAGAGGGACTTTTCACAAGGGCCTGTAGGGACAGGACAAGGGGTAACCGCTTTAAAGTGAAAGAGGGTAGATTTATACTAGATCTAAGCAAGAAATTCTTTACAATGAGGGTGGTGAAACACTGGCACAGGTTGCCCAGAGAAGCTGTGGCTGCCCCCTCCCTGGCAGTGTTCAAGGCCAGGCTGGATGGGGCTTTGAGCAACCTGGTCTAGTGGAAGGGGTCCCTGCCTGTGGCAGGGGGGTTGGAACTGGATGATCTTTAAGGTCCCCTCCAACCCAAATCATTCTACAATTCTATGATTCTAACCTTAACAAAAACATCAAGATGTGAGAGGAAGCTTTAGAGAAACATACTTCCCACCTTCGGTCAACAGAATCACAGTTTCCAACATGCTCAGTGATGCACTGGACCCAATGACGACGACTACTGCAAACCATCTATAATCCAACAAAAATCACTTCAGACACAGACAAGAACTGCATTCTGAGTATTATATTATATATTATATTTTAAATTAATTTTATGGAGTTGCAGATAATATAGGTAACTTACAGATCATCTGAATTAAGGGTGGGAGTTGTTGGTTTGTGTCATTGTGAATGTTTATGGGTTTGTTTGGTTTTTTGGTTTTGTTTTTTTACAAAGTAGTGTTGTTTCCTGATTTCATACTTTAAAATTACTGTTTAAGCTGTCCATAATGTTAAGTGCATTCTCTGTAGAAGCACACTATCCTGAGATATGATATAATATGATATGAATATCTTATATTAGTAAAATGGACAAGAAAACCAATGCACACTTTAACAGACCATTAATGTCAGTTTTAAAGCTTTTCAAGGTAAAACTCCCTAGTGTTAACATCTCTACGTTCATGTCAGAGAAAAAAAGAACACAAAGCAAAATCATGTTTCTAGGAGCTGTTACAGCAAAGCTACTTTTTCGGGGCAACTTGGTGCTGCCAGTGGGACCCACCAAAAGGGTTCGCTTGTGTGAAGGAACCAGAGGGAAAGGAGACCCCTCATGGCTGCTGTGATATTTGCAGACTCTCCGCACAGAGAATGAAGTGAAGGTGGCAACAGACCTCAGGTGTGAAAACACATTTACCACTAAACCCAAGAGTCTATTTTGTCCCAGTATTAATATACACTGTGCAGCTATTAGCACTGTCTAAGTAGAAATAACTAGTGTTCTAGGCTACACCCTGAAAAACCATGCCTTGGGTCACTTTTGATAAGGACCACACAAAAGATGACTTTGTTGCTAAGGTTGGATAAGGGAATTTCAGAAACACGTCTTCACCGCTCTTGCAGAAATTTGACTACAGAAATCCCACAAGTCTTTAAGAGTCACCTGAGATCAGCTGGTTTACTTTTTCCCTAAATACCTAGCTCTTACTTTCTCTATGCTGCAGTTCCTCATCAAGAAAAACACCCTACATACCTAGCTCTTACTTTTTCTCTGCTGCAGTTCCTCATCAAGAAAAACAATGACAACAGTATCTCCTTACCTTGTAACACACTATATGCTCAGGTACAATAAGGTGACAAGGATGAAAGATCCTAGATGTAAGTTTACAATATATGTTAACATCTTACTTCTTTGCCAGCCCAACAATGTAATCTGTATATTCCAACCACCAAAAGAACAACATGGTTGAATCCTACCCCCTAATCTGACAACAAAACTCTTCACGCTTTGTGAAAATCGTCACATGGCTAACAGTTCTCTCTGTTGAACTGGCACTTTACGTGTGTGCTCTAGAATTAAAGCAGATGATGATGGTAGTGTCCATAACAGCAAAGATAATAAACAGGAATCAGCATCAACTGGAGTAAACTAGAAGACATTTCCTTTTCACTATACACCCAGCCAACACAGACTTCATTCATAAGTTTAGAGAGTTTGTGATCTCAGCTCTTCCAGTCACCAAATAAGTAAAATTTCCCTCTCAGAGGAATTGTCAACTTAGTTAAAACTTTTAAAACATTTTGGACTTAATGCTTCCCTCATATTTTGAGCGATCAAAAATTTATCTACAAACCAAAGCTTCTCTTGAGATAAAGACAGACTCTTGAACTTCTTCTTTAATACAATTTAAATACCACATAGAAAAAAGAAACAAATATACCCTGTGATTTCATCAGAAATATTTTCACATATGAGAGTAGGCAGTACATCTGCATTCAGGGACAGCTTCCATCCCCAGATGCATTAAGAAAGCAGAGGAGACATAAGAAAAAGCAAAATTAAAGTGGAGTTTGACTACACTGGTAGAAGCTGGCAGTCTCCAATCATGGCAAATACCACTGACCTTTACATGAAAAAGCAGATAGTGAAAACTTCAGTTCCACATTTTAGGAGATCTGCTGCAACCCAGGAGGGGCAGCATTGATCACTGCGGATGCTAAAGATCCTACAATATGTTTCACCACAGCAAGTACATTAATGTAGTGGGTTGGAGAACATCCACTCTGAGTGACTGAAGTCTGCCTGCTGAAGTGTTCTTCTGCAATCGCAACCCCATGCAATGTTCTTAACTGCCTGACCTGATGGGTAATGTAGTACTGATCAACAGCTGCTGTTCAACACATTTAGCTGCACCAGTGATGGAGAGAGGCACAGCATTGAAAACTAATGGTGAATGCATATGTTTAGCATAAAGAAAGAAGAGGGTCAAATAATCAAAATATTAACCTGAGAATACAACGGATGCTTCTGCATTCAAACAAATTTCACAGTAAGGAGGTGCATGAACCTACAATCCAACTGTAAATAAAGGAAAATACTTTAATCACAGTACATTATTTTACCTGTCTTTGCATCTCTTCAACCTGTCGCTGGGGAACACTTTGCAGGATACTGTACATTTCAGGCATCTTTTCTTCAGGAATGACAACAGAGGCCCTATAAGCAAAAAAAAGAAAATAAATGGTAAGACGGAAAGAAGTTCTACATTAAATGATGTCAACAGCTTTTCCAACCCAGAATCTTGTCCTATCCTAATAGGACACATTCAGAAGGTATTAGGAGAAAGAAGCAGTCTTCTCTCCGTGTAATTAATTATTCTGTAGCAGTTCCTTCACAATACCAGCCAGTCTGCCCACAGATAATGCCACAGAAGTCTGTCGACTGATCTGTACAGACAATCTAATAAATATGAAAGGGACAGAGAGACAGAAATCCTGAATTCTCATCTCTGGATTGCCACTGACTTGCTGTCAGTTGAGATTTTTGGAGTGACCAAACAGTAATAGCATATACAGTGCTATGTAGACAAGCTAGTAATTTTTGTACATATTATCCTAATATCACGTAACTAGGCATAGTGCATGTATGGAAAAAAAATCTAAGCTCTTAATATAGTGTACTCAGCTACAAAATAACTACACTTTTCAATCTCAGATGAACTTAGAAATCATGATACAATATAGAGAATTTAGCACTGACATGATGCAATTTTTAGCATATATTTTCCTTAAAAGAGCCTGAAAGCAGACCAGTCCTCACTGAATTCAAGCACAAGATATCAAAGCAAGTCTGTTTTAGAAAAAATATGATCGGCTACAAGATAACCAAATGCTCTGTCACGTCTGCCTTGTTTGGTTTTGATGCATAATATATGAAGGGCAAAGACTGCATGTATCTTACTCGGTATTCTATTCCCTGTAACCCTCAGTACACTTGACTTATCACATAGATTTTATTCAAACCACTGAATGCAATGAAGTCTCTTAGGCAGCAGTTCAACGCACAACAGTGAGGGTACCGACCTCTTCCAGTCCAGAACCTCAGAGAAAGGTAAAATGTAGGAGTCAGCAATGATGACTGGGACGCAGCCAGCTTGAAGAACATCGCTTAGCACAGCCTGTCCCAGGCGGGCCCCACGTAGAACAACACAGAATGTAGACTCCTGTCAACAAATGGTATCCAACACATAGATGAGGAAAAAGAACAGGAAATGTTAGATTTGTATTACACGTATGTATGTATATACGCAGTTGAAGATGTCCCTGCTCATTGCAGAGGAGTTGGACTAGATGACATTTAAAGGTCCTTTCCAACCCAAACCATTCTATGATTCCATGATTATGCTTTCCTGCCCTCCCCCTCGTAAAAATACAAGTCAAAAGGAAAACAGGCTTGCTCCATGCAACCAATGTATTCTGAATTATTAGCCAATACAAAATAATTACGCAACTTTATCTTCCAGACGCTCAAAAATATCGTAAGTGGAGAGATGAGAAATCAGGTAGTCAGACTATTCTACACTTTATTTTAATGGGCAAACTTCAGAATTCTAAATGAGAAAGTTCAAGGGGAAAAATAAGTTAAACATTTTGAAAGTTTGGCATAACAAGATGAGCAATAATCAACATGAACTTATTGAGTACAAGCTGTATGAAGCCAACCTGATCATCTTCCATTATAGGGCAATCCAGCTCTATGGATAGCAGAGAAGTAACAGATTTCCTATCTCAACTTTAAAAGGCATCTGACATCTTTGACAGCATTTTCATAGGCAAATTAACAAATTATGGGCTTTATCAGCCCTCATAGGCTTTATAGTTACATAAAATATAGTTACAGAACTCTAAGTAAAAAGGAGTTAGTGGTGGCTCACAGGTAAAACAGTGATGGACCAAATAATCTTTCCTAGGTGCAACAGTATTCAATGTGCCCCTTAGTTAACCAAGTAGCAGAAATAAGACCATACTTATCAGACCTGACAACACCTACGATTTTGTGGGATTGGCAAACATAACAGATAAAGGGATTAGAGTTTGACATTATATGGATAAATTGACTAAAAAATACCTATACATACAGGGTTCATCACTTAGATAAAAATAACCAACTGCACAAATATAAAGCATGAAGTAACTGGCTATGTTTTGCACTTTGCAGAAGAGGACATTTCCTATAAAAGGACAGGAAAAGAAAGGGTATTCGGTGTTGGCAACGTTGCACTGTTGAAAATACAAACCACTCAACCCACAGGTTGTATTAGAATGCAAGAAGAAGTACAATCTAGGAGACCTGAAGGAATCACTCACTCTGTAACAAAACACCTCAGACAGAGCAGTGTGTTCAGTCTTGGGCAACACACTTCCAGCGGTAAAAAAACATGATGATTACTTACCTTGAAAGTACGATCTACAGGGAAAGATTGGCTGTATCAATACTACTTATTCTGAAAGGGTGAGGGCAGGAGGAAGATAGCTAAAGGGAGCTTCAAAGATACAAAAAGTGGTTGCAAAAAGGAAAAATATAATTTATTCATGTCCACAACATGCAAGACAGAGCCATGAGTTTAAACTGCAGCGGAGAAGACTTCTTGATTATGCTGCACTCACCCTGTAAATAGGGACTTTAGTTCTCACTGCCACTGAGTGATCTTGCTACAGATTCAAGATCACAAAATAAAAGCTTGTAGAGTTTAGCTACGCAAACCAGAAAAAAGCTCAAGTCAGTATTATCCCTAAATCTAAGAATGAAAAATGACAAAGTTGATACTGGGTCTCCCACAGATAAGAAAACATCTTTCCAGCTTGTGTTCTGTGGCCTGAGGAAAAGGAGCCAGGAGGCTCAGCTGGGCAGAAAAACATCAAAACGCAATCAGGAAATACAATGGCATTTGCTGGCTGTTCACTTGTTTCCTAATGCAACCGTAAGACTTGCGTTCATAGCCACAGAGTACTAAAAGCCTTGAAAATCTCATCCAAGAGAAGACTGCAGACAGGAAGAATTAAGAATCCAAGAAACCCAAGAGCCTGTCTAGTAGGAAGCCTGTAAAGGCTGCATTGGAAAGGATGAACTGTGACTGCAGTCCCCCTTCCCCCACTCTCAAGACAGGAAGAGAAGGAAAAGGAGGGTGCGAGAGAATGAACACACATTTTAACCCCTGACTCACTAGATCACACAGCAGCAGGTGGAAGAGACTCTAGTAAGGTCTGGAAGAGAAAAAAAAAAAAGCAGCCCAGATGTGGACACACATGCTCATCTGCCCAGATAACTATTTTTCCTGTCTAGACAAGGGTTACTATAAATACATCTCCTCACATCACCACTGTTATCAGTCAGACATTCCACACGGAGATGCAGGGCTCTGCAAAGGAAAGTATTTTAACAATCCCAGCATGTGCCAGCTCTCTTCAGAGTTATAAAATCACATATAGCAAGACATAGATATAGATTCCCTGACTTGATATCCTTAAGCAATCCAGTCTGTATTTAAAGAAATAAAGTAAACAATTTTTTTTTACTTTTGGCTGAAAGCTTAGGGCTCAGGGTGACCCTTTCCTCCCTCTCCTCCTCCTTCACAAGGAATTTTAAACTTATTTCCTACAAAACATAACAGGACGGGTAGAAAAGTTGTCTTTCCTCAGCTTGTTTGTTATTTTATCATCATTTGCTGAAGTTCAAAGACAGATTATGTGCTGGTGGTCACAGACGGAGCACAGTGGCCTATGGCATAACTCACTTCACCATCCTGCATGCCAAAGCACCTCTCTGTTAGTGAATTGCCAAGAGACACAGGGGTCTGAGAACGCTATCTGGTTTTATCTTCACTGACACATCAAAAGATCTCTGGAAGTTGGGCCAAGGCCATGAAATACATTTCACCTAGATGTTTTCACAGCTTCATGCTGATAAGTCTTCTAGCTCAGTCTCTCGCATCTATACCGATAATTTTGTAGGGTTTAACCACTAAGCTGCATTAAAGAAATATTATCTGACCAACTCTCCTTAAACGTAGCACTATTTTTTGCCCCCAAATAAATCCACACATAAGCTCTTTAAAGTTCATTTTAACCTTCCCTCCAAGATTAAATGCTTCCCCTCTGCTCCAAGCTTCATCCAGAAAGGCCGACACTGTTGCACATGAGAAATCAATTCCAAATTCACGTCTGCTGAAGGTCATTTTGCCAGTTATTCTGCAGAATCCCATGTTTTTCCCCAATTTTCAAGTGAGCAATTTTGTCTGGCCTCCGAAAGTTTCTCCTCCCATTGCTGCTGGATTTGCAGTATCTTCATATCATTTTTTTTTTTTTAATTTACATGACATTGTCATGTGTTACTAGAAAACCAGCATGACCATCATGAAGTTGTTATACATAAGCAGCGTTTTCAAAATGCAGTGTAGTCTGCATATCAGTTTGAGTACACAGTTCTTCGCCCTCTTAAAAATAAGAATAAAGTTAGGATATAATATCCAAGGTAAATTAATGAATTATGCAGTTTCAAAACATAGCCAGCAAGTTAACTAAATACAAGGAAGTACCTTACCCGTGCTGAACAGGAACAGGTCCACACCTAAGACACTCACCAAGGGGAAGAGAGGTTTGCAGGAGAAACCGCCTTACCTGAAGCACTTGAGGATAATCAAAGACTTGATTCTTGTGACAGCGTTTGCCAACAGCAGGCACCCCATCTGACAGATTTGTACATTTGTCTAGGATCAACACGGATTCCTCATTCTCAGCCTGAAGAGCTTCCAACTCAGACCGGTATTCTGGGTGCAGAGCCATTTGAGATGACAGAATGAAATATCTGCGAGGACTGAAAAACCACAGCAAGGTTACCTGACAGCACTGTGAGCTTACTTCCAAGATGCTCTAGAACACATTTCCTTCCATCCTGGAAAAGCAGAGCAAGATTAACTAAATGTGGACACACTGCCAAGACTGTATTTTCAGACAAGGCTGGAAAGGGTAATGATGCAATATAACTAAATCTTGGATAGTAAGAGGCTTAGCATTATTTACAACGTTGAATAAATCTGTACTTGGAAAAAGTGCTTAGAATAGACAGTTGCATTATAACCTCTGTTGTAACTGAAATAAACATTATTTAGCTACATAGTAAAACAGCTTGCTACTGATGCCAGGATTGTTTGTTCTTTTGTTTGGTGTTTGTGTACTATAACAAAGTAGATCGGACACAATGCTGCTGCTAGTTTCTCCTCCCAAGTATTTTCTCATCAATTTTAATTGAAAAAAGATGCTGAACTGACAATTCAGCTATCCTGTGCTTATTTAATCTTGATATGGTGACAGCAGCAACAGGACAAGCTCATCTTGTTAGCTATGATTCAGTTCCGTCTCTTTTGGGTAACATAAAGGCAACATCTCCAGGACAAAGTTGAAGACCCATTACCCCATTTACTCTCAACTGCTACCATGTTCCAAAAACATGACTGTTTAACATGTGCCTCAATATTGAAGTGTTTCAAGACACTAATTAACACTGGAGGTAAACCATACAGGAATACAGTCTCAAATTAGGTGCTCACTGCTTTAGAAAGTTACATTAATGCTGGTAAATAGCATGTCAGATAATTGTTATCCTCATCTACTTCATTTTCCTTTCTATACAGGTCAGCTAAGTCAGACTGCTCTACCGCTCCCCATTGCAAGGAACACAGAGCGAGTGCCTGCCCTCACGCTGCCAGAGGAACACAGGAAACGCGAGGCCTGCACTTAGGATTCCTGTTCTACTCCACATGATGCTATCTCTAATTTACAGCACTGAAAACACATACAAACACACACTTTATAAAGTCAGACCTCTCCAGCTGCTCTTCTAACCTCTTCTACTCATTTTCGTGCTGGTAACTTCAGTAGTTGCTCCAATTAACACACAAGATTTGCATAGAACTGTTTTTAAACATTTTTCTTCCCAAGCCTCCAGCTGCTACCAACTAGCTACCAGCAGCTCTGCAGAATGTATTTCTAGCAGAGGTGGATTTAAACTATTTCAAACAATGCAACTAAAAAGGAGAGTAAATCAAAACCCCTCAATTCATCTCTGTAAGAGGAATAAAAAAGGATTTGCCTTAAAAAAAAAAGGAAACACTGCTGCAGATGAGTGATAATGCATACCTATAACCAGCTAAAACTTATGTCGATTTTTTTGTGTATATGTTTAAAACCAAATTTTGCCTTGAAACTGTCATCACCCTATGACACTCAAAAACTAGCTATCAGATCTTGCCACAAAAGAAAGTACTTCCCAGATCCCAGGAAATAACACGCTAGTATAGTGAAATGTAATAATCTCTCCCAAGCAAGCCTGAATTTTGAGCAACGCTCTCGTGTCACACTCCTCCCGCATAAAGCAATCGAACCTGTGGATGCGTTTCCATTAGCAATGCTGACTGGCCACTAGATGGTACTCCACAGACTACAGTCTGCTCCTCGCCACAAACAAACTAAACAAACCCCCAGATCTTGAGAACATGGAAGCTCCAACACCTTTACTGAACACAGACTCATGCATTCCATCAGCTCCTTCATTACAGTTTCTCTTATCTGACCTAAAACCAGACATAGCATTTAGCTGACTACATGGACACGAACAATCTGACTGCATCTCCCTTTACAGTTGGTTCTATCTACACTGAAGCCTATCATCACGTTCATGCTTTCCAGACAGAAATACAAAGCGTGCTTTCAGTCTGTGTCAGACTGTAATAATACTTGAGATCTATGAAGAATCGATTGGGATGCAACTAGATGTCCCTATGCTGGCCTGGTCCAGGAGCATCACAAGCAGAAACATAAAGGGTATGAGCAAAGAAAACCACTGCTGCACAAGTTTGTTCGGTATTGACCGCGGTATCTCACCTGGAGCAGCCCAGAGCAACAGCAAGAGCATTGCCCTTACCAGAGAAAAGAACTGAAGCCAAAGTACAATAACTTTTTGCGTTTGAGAGCAGCAGCACCTTTTCAATCACAGTTTTCAACTTTAGTAATTCATATTTGCTACAGGATGCTGTCAGAAAAAAGGACCTAAAGTTTCTGTATTTCTAAACCTGATCTTTACAATTGGTGGACATGTTATTCACCCTCATTGTCTCACTCTGCCCATTTTTCAAACCATCAGAGGTAAGGCCTTGCTACAGTGAAACATTTTCAGCTGTGTAATTAAGACGCTTATGAAATATTAAAAGAGCAGTCTTCCATAATCCATTAAAACATGCCTTCCAGATCTCTACCTACTCTTCTGCTGAAGACATGAATGGATGAGAGAAACCACCACTTTCCAGGGTAGCTCATTTTAATGCCTAATTACATTCCCTGTTAAAATCAGTGGTTTATTTCCCACTTATCTTGCTTTACCTCCAACTACAGGGTTGGGGGGGGGTGTTGTTTGTGTTTATGTCTTACTCCATTACTTTAAAAAAGAAAAAAAATAAAATCAGTATTCTAAGCTCTGGATGTAACTATTCCCACAATCAAATCGGCTCTCCTTCTTTTTCATGAGCTAACCACACTTAAGATTCATTCTGCAAGAACTTCTTCCATTCAGAGCTCTATTTACAGGCTTGTCCTGTTCCAGACTCTCAGTGTCATTTTGGAAAGACTTCTGAACGACAAAAACATCTAAACTGATTTATGAAGAATGTATCCATAAGACATACAGGGGTAAAGATCACATTCTCCTCACTCCTGCTCTCTGTTACCCATTCAAAGTTTGCACCAGCTGATACTATCCGAGACACTCACTTTGATCCCCATGTTCCCTTCTATCTCTTTAAAGGCACAACGGAGGTACAGCACACTTCTCGTACCATTGCAACAGTGATCACTTGCCATTACTTTGTTTTTAAGTATCCTAAAATATGTGTGTCTGAAGCCACCATTTATTAGGGAATCTATGGTTGGACTTGATAATCCTGAAAGTCTCCTCCAACCTAAATGATTCTATGTTGCTTTGAATTACTGCCCTGCTTTACTACACTTTGAAGAAACCAAACATATTAACAACTACTTTTATTTATATCCGAAACATCTTCTCAGCACAGGAAATACTGAACCTAGTTCTACTAGAAACACTTTCATGCTGTCATATTTCACAGTTCAGTTTCTGAACTCCAAAAAAATCCTCAGTTCATAGCTAAATCACACATTAGCAGATGAGCCAAGGCCATTAGCATTGGAACCACCATATATTTTAATAGCAAGAGCTGTTAAAAGCAACTCTTAGAAAACTGCCCAAGCCCACCAGCAAGTTAGCAGCTATATTTATATTTTATCAGCATCAATATTAAACATGATATTGAATATACTTTGCCCAATTCATGGGAATTGCTTTACCCTGGTCCTCTTTCTGGCAGATCCACCTCCCCTGACAACGGGCTGTAAACAGGAATACTGACATCATAGCCTTGTCGGTAAGTCCATGTGGAGAAGCCTCCACCAGCCAGCAGAGCTCTGAAAAATACAAGAAAGTGACTTTAAACAGAGTATGTATATGCATATGATCACTGAGGAACAGACCATTTTGGCATTAATATAGGGAAATTTAATCTACTGCAGTCATTACGGTAATTTTGCATTTTTGCAAGCTTATACATCCTGAGACAACTTTAATTTAAAGAAATACATTCTTAATTATTTATACTAGTTAATATGTTCCTCAATGCCTGCACTAAAATAGGATACAGCACAGCTCTCGAAGCGTTACAGACAAGCTACACTTCAGATACAAGTCCAGGTACAATAACATAGTATTTTGGCAGCTCACAGTGACTCTGGACTTCTCAGGTTGGAAAATAAAATGGAGTTATTTGCAACTGTATTTTCAAAGTGATGACAAAAACTAGTGTGAAATATATTTCATTTTTACATTACACAAAAAACGCTATAAATAGAAGACATGACAACAAGAACTCTGTATGTTCTGGAACTAACTTCCAAAAGTAGAGGCTGCTTGGGACACTGTGCTAGAGAGCATGGGAATCATCAAAGACTGGTAAATTAAGACATAATTCAACCTCCCAGCAGGATGACCCTGACTATGGCTTTTCCTAGATGGGACAACCTTTTGCCACACAGAAGGGCTTTAAGAAACAGAACAATGTGTACAGAAGAAGGCAATGCATCATTCACAATGTCAGAAAAAAAATGGGCTTCTTACTATCTCCTATCCCAAATCCGGCTTCTTTGAAATATGCCAGTAGAGGACATCAGCTTTTCAGTCACCATTTCACCTCCAGTGGCCAGGTGGCACCATGAACACATCACCCAATCTCCAAAAGAAGCTCAGATTCAGCTTCTTTAGTGAGACTTCTGAAACAGCTGATCAAGCTTTCAGTCTTTTGTCACCAAACAGCAGCATGTGGTATACTTTGAATTGCCCCAGGGATACTGGGTCTGCTTAGAGTACCACACAAAGTAGTTTGCAGAAAAATATTTCTCGGCTTTCGGTTTCTCACCTTCTCTGCAGAGAGAAGCAGAACACATACACCACCACACTAGGCACTACAGAAAGGATCCTGAGGAGCTGTAGTCGTTGTAGCAGCTGTGATTACAGCCAAAAGCCTTATTATCACAAGCTTGCACACTGTCACAGTTCAGATCGCAGCAGGCACGTCTCCTCAGTAAGCAGAACAGACACATCAGAACAAAAAGCCAAGGTGAGACTGGAAGAGGCACTAACAATCCATTAGCTGATATTGTTGCTTTCAGATATCACTGAATGAAATCCCTAGTACAATGTTTGGAGAAGCAGTTTTTCCACAGCTGTTCTACAATAGATTATCGTTATCTCTAATTATCCTCCACAACCTATCATTTTTTCCCATCAGAACATGACACCCTGGATAAACATCAGTATGTTCTGCCCGTTCTAACCCCCGTTAGACATCCCATGGGATGCTTCACTTCCTGCTCTGACCTGCAGCCGTTGTTCAGTGCTCAAACACGATCACACTTTGCCATAAATGTGACTTCATCCAAGTGGTCAAGCAAGCAGTCCTAAGTGTCATTTAAGGAGCTCTCTGAAAATCCCAGGCTCTGGATTAGAGATGCATTTCAGCTTGATAAGAGTTACAAAATCAATACAACTTGCCCTTTATTACTCTTCATTCAGAACACAAACTATGGTATGAGCAGAAATCAACTTCAGAATGGGATGATAAATCAAGTACGTGCTGAGTGAAAATTTATGGTCCAAATCAAGTTATTATTTTGGATTCCTGTCCAATGCTCCCCCCTGCCCCGGTGATACACACAATGCTGCTATGACTACATCTCACCCTCAAAGCTGCATGTTCTGTGTCTTCTCCATATTAACTCAGTTACAAGCCGGTAGAAAAAATTGACTTGGGTGTTGCTGTTCTTGCACTTCATATCCCCCTCCTATTTTTTCTAAGCCCCCCTAATTGGGAAACTACAACCACATTGTTTTAATTGGATCCGGTGAAAACATGACAGCACCTCATCAGCCTTGAGAAAGCAGGTGTGTGTCATGCAGACTTTTACCTAAACAAACCCACAGGGAACCAACACCAGTTAAATAACTCCACTCAGATTTTCATTGTACAGTGCAGTAAGGGAGTAGAGATATTAACTCCTCATGTACTCTAGACAAGTAATCTTTAAATTGCACTGGTCAGTGAGGAATGAGCCTGCTCCTGAGCAACTTTTCACCAGTTTTCAGATATTCATCCTTCTTTCTCTCCAACTGGGCTGTACTCTGAATGGTTCTGCCCAGCTGCCATCATCATCAGCTTTCTGCCAAACTTCACAAGTCACTGAAAGCCAATTCATCAACTGAAGCAGAACGAAAAAGTATCCTAGTTCATATGTCCAATTCTACAGCTACAGAGTAGCTTTGCAAAATAAATCCTTTCATCCTCTTTATTGTACCACATTCAATAGCACTCATTAACAAATAATAAATTCCTTATTTTTTAAGTTTTATGGCAGGTGATTACATATGTTATGGCAGCTAATACCAGCAACACAGCCTCCATGCCCACAAGGCAGACCTCCACCTTTGAAATTACAGAATAAAGGGCTTTTACACTGTCTTTGGAAACTGGATTTAAAGATTTAATAAACAAACAACCCCTTAGTGAGTTAACTAAAGACTTTTCCAGATGTAAAAATATCATATAACTGAATTCCCCTTTGTGTATAAAGTCTTATTTTACCTGGATTAATATTCTGCAGCAAATCAACAGAGCACAACTCTATCAAACCTCACGATCCACTACCGTTAAACTACACATGATCTCCAGTACGTGCCGAACAGAGAAGGCAGGCCACACTCCCTGTGCAAACTTCACAGATGTTGCCTGTGTATTTCATGAGTGATCCGCAAAACCCCACAAACCCAGTCTTTCTGGAGTTGTACTGGTACAGTTCAGACCAGTCATTCAAAACCAGCTGAACCCTGCCAATATACCTGTGTTTTGGCCTGCAGTCTCTCACCCTGTGGTGCTACAAACAACCATCCTTCACATTTTGTTAACTGCCCATTCTGTAACACGTGGACATTCTCAAATCAAGAAAACACCTAGGTCACTTGTTCTGTTAAGACACGAAATAAGAACACCAGAGGTCTCCAAAATCATACTGGAACCTCATCGTGCACCACTCCCGCCCTTCCAAGACTAGGTCAACACTACTGACTTCTTCACAGATCCCTTGTCTTTGCACCTGTAGTACAGGTTCTGCACCACACTGAATACAGTCTAACTGTTAGCCGTCTACCAAAAGGAGATTCCAGCTTTTCTCCATCCCAAGCACTGCTATTGCCTCTCTTATGTATTACAGCTAGCGATCGTACAGCTGCAGGGTGAGTCAGTTTGGCAAGCTATGACAACAGCTGTATGCCAAAAAAGATTCAACTTTTTTATTTCAAATTACTCGGCTTTCTATGTTAGCATGACAAACACTTAGAACAAACACCTACTAAAATAATACATTTCCTGCATACTAAGCCAAGACACATAAGGCCAAATATACATGGAGATTTGACACAAAAAAAGGAAAAAAAAGTTGTGCAGCATAAAAAAATCCACAGCATATAATCAATAAATCTACTTCTTCAATAGACACATGCATCCACAAACATGCAGCTCCAGAGCAGCCCATTCCATTAAACAGAGCACTCCCAAATGGAAAATCCCCTTAAGAAGTATAAATCTTAAGATAACGAATACAAGTATTTACTAACAGATTAACAGGTCTGGTTACACAAGAATGATGCTTGACTGCCCTCTTCAGGCTAACCCACATGCACACAACATTTCATAGAGAAGCAAAAACCTAAAGACTTACTTCACAGTCAGTGATGTAATTACAATGAGTAACCTTACTCCCTGAGCACGTCCAGAAAAAAATATGTTCTGTTCTGGCACTGAAGGGTGTTTTAAATCGTCTTTGGTGCAAAGCAATCAAGAAACACTCCATACACCATCATCTTAGCGAAGATCCCATATCTCAGGTAAGATTTTGTTGACATTTGACAGAAGAAAGTTAACTTTGACCTTCAAGAGAGGGACTAGTTACACAGGACCTAACTCAGCAGAACTAAGCACAACAGGCTAATCTAGTAAGAGTATCTAAGCCAAATAAGTTTGTCTTACTCTTATTCCAGTTTCCTTTACCTTACGACCACCTTTCCTCGTCCAAGAGTAAACTACTCTGCAAGCGAAAACTGAGCTCAGGATTCACATCTTCTAAGTTTCTGCCCAATATTTTCAAAACACACTTGCCAGAGAATAACAAAGAGTATTTGTCTGATTACTAATACAATGTAATTGTTACAACAACAAAAACTACTGAAATTCATCACTGTTTTGTCAAGCAGAGCAGCTGCTTTAAAACGCCCTTGAAGCACCTGACTTCTATCAGAAAGTTGCAGCTACAATCACCTTTGAACTTCTAATTTGCATCAAATGGGACATTCTGTAAAGCGTTCAGGTTCCATAACACACAACATACAGGTCCAACCTCAAGAGTCTCCATCCTTACAGCAAGCCCAACAGTTAAGAGCAAACGCTGTCAGCCACATCCCATATAAACTTAAGGATGGAGCTAAACTGTCAAGATTTCAGGAGCAAACACTTGTCCTATACAAGACAGGGACTTCTCTACTTCCCTTTCTTGAGCAGAGAGGAAGTCATCATCCAGCTCTGTAAAGGTTAAGGAGCATGTCCTTTGCTATCAGCTGCACTTCTGAGCTTGTTGCTTCTTCAATGGCATTTAAACCCCTATCTGTGCATTCAAGCACAGCAAAACGCATACCTATCTCTAGGAACATCTAGGGCAGTGTTATAATCTGGTGGCCCTCCAGGCAGCATATTGAAGAGCAAGTGATTTGTGCCTCGATCCCACCTAAGGCAAAAGAAGAAACAGACAACAATTAGAAAAGTGTTCTCTACGTACGGATGGTAAGTTCTGTCTAAGCCTAGCTCTGGCATTGACTCGCTGCTTCCTCCCCTCCTCCATTAACCTTAGTTTTTTCCACTTTGTGTTCTTTAAATACACATACTGAAGTACCTGGGTAACTGTGCCAAAGCCTGAGCTGTCTCCTTGATACGGAGCGCATTCTGATTGAGGACATCTATGGACGGCACAAAAAGGCAGGCCCGGTTGACATCGTCAGTGTAGAATTCACTGTCGGAGATAGCAGTTAGCAGCTCATTGTATTCCCTGGAAATGGTGTTGCTCACCGACGTCCCGTACTCATCCACATACTTTTTCAGTGAGTATATGTATACCTTGATTTTGTTTTTGGGATTGAAGCCACATCGATAGACATCGAAGCAGGTGTGCATCCTGCAGCTGAGGTCTCCACGCTCAGGAATGGGGCTATCAGC